CAGAATCATCCTTGTTAAATTTCTCAAGAATCTTGTCTACATAGTGTTCTTAAGTCGGTATGAGGCCTTCAGATGACCTTTTAATTTGGATGTCTAAAATCATGTCGGGTAATCCCATATCTGTCATGTCAAATCTTTAATTTAACATATCTTTGGTATGCTTTAACACTTCATTGTTACTTCCAACAATGAGTATGTCATCAACATATAAACAAAGAATCACATATCATATGTTTGTGTTTTTGACATATACATACTTGTCACACTCGTTTATCTTGAAGTCGTTTGTCATTATGAAATTATCTAACTTCTCATGCTATTGTTTTTGTTCTTGTTTAAGTCCATACAAAGACTTCACCAATCTGCATACTTTTTTTCTTGTCCTGAAACTACATGACCCTCAGGTTGTTCCATGTATATTTCTTCATCAAGATATCCATTTAGAAAAGAAATTTTAACATCCATTTTATGTACTTCTAGATTTTGCAAAGCAAAAATTGCAAGTATCATTCTATGGATGTTATTCGTGATACATGAGAGTATGTATGAAAATAATCAAAGCCTTCCTTTTTTCGGTAACCTTTTATTAACAATTTGTCCTTATACTTATCAATTGTTCCATCAGTTTTTATTTTCCATTTGAAAATCCATTTCGAACTTAGTGGTTTCATTTTTAGAGGAAGATCCACTAATTCACATGTGTGATTTTGCATAATGGAATCAATCTCGCTTTTGATAGTTTCCTTCTATAAGGTGTCTTCCGAAGATCGTATAACATCGTTGTACGTTTGAGGTTTAGCCTCCAACATAAAATTTAGGAAATATGATCCAAATGATCTTTTCACTCTAGCTCGTTTGCTCCTTCTTGGCTCTATTTCAGTTTTAGTCTCTTGTTGATCATTTGGACTATCTTCATTGTTAGTCTTTAAAGTGTTTCCTTAATATGGCCTACAATTACGTAGTTTCCTTAATATAGATTTTCAGTCACTCCTTGGTGCTCGAGATATCTTGGTCGTCTATCTTAAGATACAACAACGATATAATTAGCGCAAAGTAGCATAACTTACGAAATCACGAACTTTTTCTTGCTAGGGAATATCACCGAAAATAAGGAAAAGAAAAGATTTTTGGTTTTGTAAAACCTAGTTGGGTTACAAGGTTTTTGTAGTGTTTTCACATAGGAGAAAATTGGAAATAATATATTATGGAAATTAATTAATATCCAAATAAAATCAGAAATAATTAATTGATACTGCCTTAATCATAATATAATCATGAATTGCAAGTCATACCGAATACCAAATTAGTATCCGAATTAAAAGGAAATCATATAATATCCTTTTTAATTCATAATATTCAGAAAGATATATCACATTTAAGGAAAATATAATTAGTAGTAGGTAAAAGATTCACAAATTCTAAAGGACCTAACTAGTCTAAATATTTGTTTATAGCTTGGGTTTGCACCCCTTACTTGCTCTAGCAAGTTAGGCACAATTTCAACCTTATCATTCAACAATTAGTAAGTTGATTTGTGTATGTTTTCTCATTTTCCTTGTACAACACAATTCACAAGTACTCAAGTTTGAGCATCAATTTCTCATTCATCGCTCAACTGTTTTGAGCATATAAGATACCATTGTAAAGTTCTCACGGAATAGAATATGAATCAATAAATTCATTATTCGTTTCTCCATCTTTACACTTAGAAAATATCCTCAAAGTCTCAATTTATCACATTTTCTCCAACAATTCAGTCAGGGGAACTGAGTTAACCAAGTCGAAGATCATAAAAGGCGAGTGAGTTCATGAGAGAGTGAAGGCCTTGCAATTATCAAGGACAGAACAAAATCCTTTGGAGCCAAGCCTTCTCTTCAACGTAATGATTTTCTTGAACATTTGCAGATGTTAAATTTGCCAGAAGTTTTCCTTTTCCTTGTAGTTCTATAATTTTTACTGAATTTATTTAAAACCCCTGTGCTTATATAAGTAATTAATCTTTATGCATTTATTTACTTGGAACGAGTTCATAACTTGAAGGATTCCGAGTTGAGTTTGCAAGAAGTTGAAATATTTGAAAGCAGGTTACAGCATTCCAGCAGTGTTCATGTTAGTCCCAACTCCCACCAGCCACGAGCTATCCAGGCTACCGAGTCTTCTTGGTTATCTTCCTTCTGTCCCTCGTCTTTAAGCTTTGCACCGATACATATTTATTTTGGTCGTTCTTCTTAGAGTTAACCCTATTCATGCATTGAATTTGATGATGATGGTCCTCGAGCACCGGACATTAATTTAGATTGATCCCGTCGAAGAAACCCAACATCGAATACTGATCTTTGATAAAGTTTCTGGCGTTTAAGGCAAGGGTAGGAGATGAAGTTTTCCAACGACATGGTTTCAGACGGTGATGGGATTAAAGGGTCGACGGTATTGTTTGTTTAAGTCAATGTATGGATCAATGAAAGCAAAAGGCAGCTCAAACGGATCCAAATATTGTTGATCATCTTGAATCGTTTCTGGGTTAACGTTTTGGAAATCAGTTTCTCAGTTTTGGTATTGTTATACTTCCTGATATGATTTACTTGATATTTCTAATTCTCCATCATTCATGTCTCTAGAGCAGATGATCATTTTCGTCCACTGGAATAATTAAAGAATTCTTAACTTTTGAGGATGACAGTGTCATTTAAGTGTTCAAATAATAACGATTTTCACGAATCGGTAATTAACATATTTTTTGAATCATTTAAGTGTCTAATATTATAAATATTATCACTTTATGTACTTCTACCGTAACGACTGTTATAAAATCTCGTTAAATATCATATATCATAATCTTAAAAAATAACATTATTAATATTTAAAAAAACCCATTTCCCCGTCCCGCATCCTACCCATTATCCCTTCCCTACTTCCGTAGCTTCCTTCCCCTCCCCCACTACTTCAAACCTTCGATGGCTAAATAATTGATTAAACGACCGATTAAATGGTTGGTTGTCATAGTCGGTTTAACGATCGATTACCACAATCGACAAAAAAAATTTAAGGGATTGAATATTTGAGATTTTAGATATTAAGGATTGAAATATAGAGATTTAAGAATTTTGGGTTTTGAAATGATAGTAAAGGTTGTGACCGGTCAATGAGTGGTTGGCAATAAATGGGTGGCCGAGATGAACGATGGTTGGAGTAAATGAGACCAAAATAAGAGATTTTAAGAGTTTGAGGGTTTTTGGTATTTTAGAAAAAAATTGGAGCTTTCTAAAAATAAAATATTTATTTTAAAAAATAAATTTTCAATATTACCAGATTGTAATACATACACTTAACAATCATTTTAATGATCATAAAAACCGAAACATTTAAAGTCTTAACGTATGTAACGTTATGTATTTGGATGATTCAAAAAATAATTTAAATATCAATTCATAAAATCTGATATAGTTTAAACAATTATTTTATATTTATACCTTTAAATAAATAACCGTTTATAGACCTTAGACAAGATTCTTAATACTCCTCAAGTCTATTTAGCAAATTTATTTAACAGGTTAGCCTAAAAAAACATACATACATATATATATATATATATATATATATATATATATATATATAACCTTGTCAAACCTCATGCATAACTGAGAAGGGGCTCTTTCCTTCTCATTCTTCCTTTCCTATATATTATTCATCTTCTCTCACATACCTTATTTTTCCTTTTTTTTTTCTCACTAGAAAATCATAAGATCAGAGACAGACCATGTTATAGGTGAGTGGGGTAGGTGTAGGAGTGTTCAAACTTCGATTAAAATTGATTTAATTAATTGAATCAAAATTTTGATCGAATAATTTTTTTAATTAATCAATTGATCAATTTTAAGTTCGATTGATTAACAATTATTGATTTTTTTTCAAACTTTGGTTAACTGAAATTATTAAAAATTTAATATATTTAATATATTATTTATATATTAAAATGTTTAAACTTAGGTTTTAACCGAATTGACCGATCAAATTAAATGAATTAAAAATATATATAATATATATTATTTATAAATTTCAGTTAGTTTGGTTAATCGACCGATTAATCGAACTTTGTTCAGTTTAATTAATTATTTTTAAGACCTTTAAAATTTAAATTTAGTCAAATAAAATATTTAATATCTTAAATTATATGGTTTAATTACTTTTTAAGATCTTTATTTGTTTTAAAATTAGACAAATTGTTCCCTCTCGTAGTGCAATCCTAACTCCGTTGATGCATAAGGTAATAATAATCATCTTTGCCTGAACAGTGATTCCCCATCTAAATAAAAGGATGAATTATCAATGACTGAGTCAACCAACTTATTTCTATCAACAGGTATGAACTTAAAATCAAGAGAACCATTAAATATAGGGGAAATGCATAAAATTTCAGAAATGGCATTAGAAGCAATTACATGAAACTCATTCATCAAATTACTTAACTAGTTTAAGTTTAATTGAAAAATAAACATTCAAATTATATTTTGATGATTAATTTTTTATTGATTAAAATGAATATTTGATATTTTATTCCATAATCATTTTCAATCGCCGGTTAAAAGAGTACACACTATTTTAATAATTTTTTATCCAACTCGTTATTACAATCAAATTAAAATGTTTTAAAATTTGAATTTAAATTTTTGATTTCCAAACTAAATAAAAATAAAGAGACATAATCGAAGTTGAAAGAATTAGTAACAAATAGATTTTCGAAATCCAAATGTTTGTTTATTATTATAAGAAAATAATCATTTCATATACCATACCTTTTTTGTGTGAGTGAAGGATGAAGGGTGATCTTAAATGCTTTAAAAAGAAGGGCCCCCATATCCAGGAACCAAAGGATAGAGTTCCACGTGGTTTGAGGTGGATGGACTTTAACTCCTCATTGGTCCGAAATCTATCCTCCTTACTCTCTTAGATATCCTCTCTAGATTTCTTCTATCCCAATTGTCTCTCTACAAATCCTTCCTTTGATTCTCCCCAGCTCATAAACAAACACTCATCCCCCAATTTTCCTCCACAAACTCCGTCGAGAAAATCCCTTAGGTTTTGCACAACAGCAATGGCTGCCATTTCAGGGGCGGTTCTAAATGGGTTAGGCTCATCATTTCTTTGTGGAGGAAAGAGAACCCAAGCCCTTTTGGGTGCTAAAGCCTCTCCTTCCTCCCCTGCCGCTGGAGCTAGGAAGTTCTCCGTCGTTGCAGCAGCCGCTTCTAAAAAGTCTTGGATCCCCGCCGTTAAAGGTGGTGGAAACTTCATTGACCCTGAATGGCTAGATGGATCGTAAGTGCTTCCTCTTCCCTGAACTTCCTTTTTTTTCCTTCGTAACTCTGCTGTTACTCGTGTTAAAAAAAAAAAAACTATGCTGTTACTAAAGTTTTGTTTTCAGGCTCCCTGGAGACTACGGATTCGACCCACTAGGTCTCGGCAAGGACCCGGCGTTCCTAAAATGGTACCGGGAGGCGGAGCTGATCCATGGACGTTGGGCCATGGCAGCCGTCGTCGGAATCTTCGTCGGCCAAGCCTGGAGTGGTATCCCGTGGTTCGAGGCCGGAGCGGACCCCGGTGCCATAGCTCCGTTCTCCTTCGGCTCACTCCTGGGAACCCAACTCATTCTTATGGGTTGGGTTGAAAGCAAACGTTGGGTTGATTTCTTTAACCCGCAATCACAATCGGTGGAATGGGCGACTCCGTGGTCAAAGACCGCCGAGAACTTTGCCAACGCCACCGGTGAGCAAGGTTACCCGGGCGGCAAGTTCTTTGACCCGTTGGGGCTTGCGGGAACTATTCAGAATGGGGAGTATGTGCCGGACGTTGAGAAGCTGGAGAGACTTAAGCTTGCTGAGATTAAGCATGCTAGAATTGCTATGTTGGCCATGTTGATTTTCTACTTTGAGGCTGGCCAAGGAAAGACACCTCTTGGTGCTCTTGGCTTGTAAGGACATTATTGGTCATGCTTATGTAGATAATTGAGTTTTATGTCTCGACTACATTTAGCGAGAACAAAAAGACAAACTGGAAATGGTGTTGTTTGTTGAGCTGATTCATGATGATCGTTCCCTCCCCAATAGTTCAAAATTCTGACTAATCTCTTTGATTAAATACACTACTACATATTAATCCAACAATTCTAATTTTATATCAAAGTTTTTAAATTCACTACTAAATATTATGAGAATGTCTCGAACCCGAAAAAAAAGGGCAGTTCGAACCGTTAAAAAACCGAGAGTATTTGGAAAAAAAAAATGGAAGCAGATACTCTCATTTTAATCATTAAATGAAGCTTTGATTTTTTTTCATTTCATTTTATTCCATCTCTTTATTCTATGTTTGTTTCGATTTATTCCTAGCCATTAGAGATGGCAAACGGGCAGATCGGGTGCAGATACCTCTCCCCCATACCTATCTAATATTTTTTAATCCACCACACGCCCATCACCCATGATAGGTAAAAAATTTCAAATCTACATCTGCCCACGCGAGTACATTCTCAAATCTATCCTCACACCCACTATCTACTGGAGACGTACCCGGCTAGACCCCTCTGACAGCAAACTTAAGTTATACATAACCAACAAACATAAAACAAACACGTCTATTAAGAAATATAATAAAATACCATAATAAAAAACATAATTAAAGTCTAGAAACATAAATGATAAACACATAATGTTTTTGTTCTTTGGCACAACATTATAAAATTTCAGGCAATACTTGTGACATCTGATACTCCAGTATTACAATCATCATTCTCATAAAACATCATAATAAAAGACATAATTAAAGCCTAGAAACATAAATGACAAACACATAATATTTTTGTTCTTTGGCAGAACATTCTCAAATTTCAGGCAATACTTGTGTCATCTGATACTCTAGTATTACAATCATCATTCTCTATTTCCTCCAATTGAGAGCGCTCCAATTTAAATTCACTACTACCTACATATATAATAGAAAACAAAACTAATATAAGTTAGTAACTAAACTTTAATAACATAAGTAATCACAATTTGACAACTAATATAAGCTAAATAATAAAATTACCTTTAATATCGGCCCAAAGTCAATTCTGAGCACACATTAATGTTTCAATCGTCTTCGGAAGTAGTCGACTACGATAAAGATCAATTACTCTTCCACTTATACTGAATGCAGATTCTGATGGGACAGTGGAGACATGAATGCTCAAAATATCCTTTGCTATTTGTTGGAGAGTTGGATAACTATTTCCATTTGTTTTCCACCAGTTAAGAATATCAAAATCATCAACAAATGATATGTTGGCAGTTTCTAAGTACCTGTCCAAATCAGATTTTTCTGAAATTGCATTATTATTTTGCTGTACAAATTCAGCAAACTCGTTCAACATTGTTCATTTGCCCTTAGTATTGAAAAAACCAACAGATTTGGTTTTGCTCTTACTTGCTTGATTCTTACCATTTCTATATCCATACTCATCCACCAATTCATGTAGAAGACCTTCAATTCTATTAATCTCAGCTTGAACAGTAAGACCGTGGGATATTTAGAGGCAGAAAATACAAGTGTAATATCGTTAAACACTTCCAATAATTCACAAATTTTCTCCACCTTTTCCCAATCTTCGTTAAGTGGTGGATTCTTAAAAAAATGTTCATGACCACTCAAGACAACAAATACCTCCTTATAATTTAAAGAAACCATATGCATGTCATAAGTCGTTCCACCTAGTCTTGCAATCAAGTTGTAACTTTTTTGTACATTCAGGAACCACTTGCTTGGCTACTTGTTTAAATTTTTGATTTCTTTTATCTGAAGCAGTCCAAAAGGCAACACTATCCCTAATTCTATCAAGACCATTTTTTATCACATCACTCAACCCATCTTGAACAATCAAATTAAGTATATGAAAACAACAACGCATATGAAGAAAACGTCCATGCAATATTAGAGAGCCATAAGGAAACTCTTGACGTAAAATATCAATCATAACATCATTAGTTGTGCAATTATCCACAGTTATAGAAGACAACTTGATATCAATATTCCAGGAGTGGATGCATTCTTTCAAATGTTCATCAAGAACCTCAGCCGTGTGAGGGGCTGGGACATACAAAAACCTATCATATTAATGCGACATGCATTAACACATGAAATAAAGGAAAGTGAAACTTCATAAAGGAACAAACTTTTAAAATAATATTACCTAAGTGTTCGACTTTGGAGTTTCCATCCATTGTTAATAAAGTCTGCGGTGACAACCATGTATCCCTTTCTTTGATTGTTTGAGGTCCACATGTTAGTGGTTAAGGCGATCCTACTATTCGTTTTGCTCAACAATGCACTTATGCCCTCTTTTGCAGTCTCATATCTTTGCATGATATCTTTCTTGGTTGTATTACGACACGGAACTTTAAAGCCTGGTTGAAGTGTATTGGAGTACTTCATAAAGTCATAATGCTCAACAATGGTAAGAGGGTATTCATGCAAAATGATCATTTCTACCAAGTCTTTTCTCTCTTTATCTTGGTGGAATACATATAGTGCCAAAGAAAGAGTGTCATTCGAACCACCATCTTTAGCTTGTGTTCCAAATAGTCTTGTTTGTCGAATATCTAAGCATTTTCTTTTAACACATTTATTTGCATGCTCGGTTAAGTGACTTGTCCCTGCTCTTGGTCCTCCAGTAAGTTGCTTATTGCAGTAGTTACATTCAGATTTTATTTCTTCCCAACTCGTTTTCTTGTAAAGTGAGTCCAAGTTGTTGATGTATGCCTCGAAGTTAAGGGAATGACCATAGGATCTGCATCATCGGTTTGCTTTGGATTTTTGTCACCACAGTCAGAAGTTGGGGTAGAACTTGCTGTAGTGGTTGGCTTTGAGATTGATGGTGATGAGGTGGTTGTAGTATTGTGTTGTTTACTTTCGTCTGTCATTATGTACCCTGTATTTACAATTACAATAAAACATGTTATATAAGATACATAAAATACATATTAATCACATAGCTACAAACAAACAAAAGACAACAACAACAATGATTCTTCAATAAATGCATAATGATTTTAACCAAATATGGGAATAGGGGATGCATCACATACGTGTGTATTGTTTTATACTTCAAGCTCATGCCAACGATCGGTGACAACTCAGTATGGGGCTTGCAGACCATGTTTCACTTGAATAAATATGTTAGGCAATAAATTTCTCGTATCTTTGGTTTGCTTTAGAAATTATAACTATGGTATCCAACAAGAAAATCTATATTGGATTAGAAAAGAAAGAAAACTATGTTTTTTAGTAAAACATGAAAGGGCAATTGAATTACACGCATATGATTCAAGGACATTATATATTTATATTTCCCTATCATATGAGAATCATTGAATTTAACCAAAACAAAAGCTGAGAATAGTTAAGTTTTGTCGAAGCAAACTAAGATGATTTAAGACCTCCTAAAAGTCAGTTTCAAAGTTAGCATATTTAACCTCCGCAACTTTCCCCCATAGCCAAACAAAGTACTAGAGAAAGCACGAGTGAAACACTTAATTCTATTTAGTGGTGTTAAAAATGGAGGTTTGAGAAGCAACGATCAGACTCTGTTTGCCTAAACGTGGGTGCTCAGTGACAAGATACTGATTTGCAGAACATTAAGAAATTAAGCTTAAAACAAACATTGAGATGAATCTAAAAAATAATTAAAAATCAGTACGAGCAAATAAAACTTAAACTCTTAAAACGAAATGCAGAGGAGCTTAAAACGAAATGACTACAGAATTGGCTCTTAAAAAAATTAAATTTCAAGTAAAAAGGGAAGAAACGTATCTGAATAAGCTGGAGAGTGGAGACTAGAGGTTTGAAAGATCGGCGCAGTAATGAGAGGTTTGAAAGAAAAAAAATTTATGCATAAACTTTTCCTAATATTTGGTTAAATTACAAGTTATAACTTATACAATATTAGGATTTATAAATTATTCTCTAAAATTACACCTAAATTCATAATGGTCCAAAATTTAATGGATATTTAGCTGGACGGGCAGACGTGGGGCGGGCGGATGCGGGGCGGGTGAGGTCTCAAACCCATTACCCGTCCACTACCCACGACGGGTACCACTTTCTAAATCCACACCCGCCCACTACCCACTAAAATTATACCCATCCCCGCCCCAATTGGAGCGGATGCGGTGCGGAATCCACGAAATTGTACCCGTTTGCCATCCCTAATAGCCATGCTCATTTTATTTTCAATTTAGTCAAACTATTTTCATCTATTTATGCTTGGGTTGTTTAGCTTTATTTTTGTTTATTTTAGCCTTGGCTATTTATTGTGTTTAATATTTAGTGGTTGTATTTTATATTTGCATTAATAAGGGCTGCGCATTATATTTGCTTCTTGTTATGCCATGGTATATATGTTTATATTTACGTTACTAAGCGTTTTATTTACATATTATATTTATATATCTTAATATTAAATAGAAATATATATGTTAAATTTGATTTGTACGGTAGTATGTTTATCTCGTAAATATCATATACATTCGAATAGTGAGTATTACATTAATTGATTTAAAATGAAGTAAATGCCCTTTGTTTGATTAACTTATGGAATGCCTCCAGATACTTGAAGTGTACTTTCGAGGGTTACTCAAACAAAAGAGTATTTCTTTTTATTTATGTGTATTTTATTTATAAATAAGTTAGTTTGATAAAAATAAATTTTAAATTATATATATATTATGAGAATGTCTCGTACGAAGAGTGGTCCGTTGAAAAACCTCCAAAATATCTAGAGTTCGATTCCTTAAGATTTATGAGTCAGGAAACATCCCGTCAATTTTTTTAAATCTTAATAAATACAAATATTGTGTGTGATTTATTTATCTATCTATTTAATTTATCATATTATATTTTATATTTCATTATAATTTATTATTGATGCATTTATGAATCATACATTTGTTTTCTCGTTTTCTAAAAGAATAAAAGGCAGTATTATCTTGCATCATGGGTTAACGAAATTACATCTAATATTACTGGATTTCAATTTCTATTA